CAAACTCAAGAGCCCAATTCATTGGCCTTTCGGCACCCACCCCACCACCTACGTAATGCCTTGGGCTCCGACATAATAATAATAATATAAAACTTATAATTAACCTACCTATCGATACACTTACAGCGTTTTAATTTACATTACAAGATTGTTCCTAGAATTACATTATCGCCCTTAACTACCTATGAAATTAAATTACTCTCAACCTTAGTAATAATAAATTAGAATGTGTATTGAAAATAAAATTACGCTCAAATACTAATATATGTGTTTATGTATGCAACTGTGTGTGTGTGTGTGTGTGTGTGTGTGTGTGTGTGTGTGTGTGTAATACGCTAATGCGTGTAATGTAGATGCGAGATAAAATAGAAGCGATAAACTTACGCGCCTACCTATTCAACTTCATTAGTGTTGGATGTTTCCTATCTATCCTACCTACAATTAAAATTATGTTTATCTAACCTACCTATATAGCTACTTAATATAATTGTGTGTGTGTGTGCGCGTGTGAGCATTCTTACTTATTGTTAAATTACAGAGAAAAAAGAATAAAACGTATCCTAGCCAGGCGTGCATTCTTTTGCCTCTGAATGAATGAACGTAGCCTGACATCTTCCTTGATGAACTCCTCTGGAAGCTTTAGCCTGAATGAAATGAATGAAATAAAAAAAATCTTATTTATTTATTTAATTAATTTAAATGAAAATAGAGAAACGAGCCGCGGTGAAACCCGCCAGCCGGAAAAGCCAGCCAATTGACAAAAAGAGAAACAAACAAAACAAAAAAAAACACAAAACAAAAATCACACCACCAAGTAGAGTAAAAGAATAGGAGTCCCTAACCTACCTATGTAAATAAATTACCTTATGCCCTAGCCTACCTATATAATAAATTAATTTTTACCTCACCTACCTATGCTTCATTAACTTAACTCAAGACTCATGAAGGAAGAGAAAAAGGAGTAAAACAGAACATAAAATACTACCACACAAACAAACATGGTGTATGTATGTATGTATGAGCAACCGTTAAAGAACCCACCTAAAATTAAAAAAATACCACCTACAATCATTCAAACCACCTACAAACATGCGAACTCTATATAACACTATATAACTTTATATAACTCTATATAACTCTATATAACTCTAAATAACTCTATATAATAAAATAAATAAAAATAAAAAAATTTTAAAAATAAAATAAATGAGATCAGACAGACTGCTTCAAGCGAGGCAGAATGCTGATCTGACTTTCATGTTGTCTCAGCTCCTCTATTTATACTCGTTT